GGTTTAGGTTCCTTTTTAATCTTGTTACTAAATCAAGTGATCACTAATATTTTATAATTATATGTTGCATTAATATTCAACCAATTTAGCTTAATAGTAGATTGTAGCAAATTCAATCTTTGTTTGTATGCCTTTGAGATCGCAGGAATGCTTTTTACTATAAGAATCGAGTAGAGGCCTATACGGGAGAATGTGACCCCATGACTCACTTCGTACCATCATCCCCGATCCTCCTTTCGGGGTTCCGAACTATATGGAGTTAGTAATCTCATGGATTATGAATGGGGTGTAACCTTCATGGGTCAATCGTTGTTGTCTATCGTTGTCCCGTGTTCGTGGTTACCTTTTATGATCCGTGAACAGTTTTCAAGTTCCTTAAAAACTTGTTGGTGGCTCCGTACTTTCCTTGTCCCTAAACGTATATGTCAATTTCTACTTGCTATGAGTGTCAAGCATATTCACAACATGCTTTAACGTAGGCGCACTTCGAGCGACGCCTACAATATGTTTGTCATTTTACTGTACTGACGTTAAAAATTTCCGGGTTTTCTTCTTTTTTCACGTCCGAAGCAAAAAGGAAGGCGTTTTCATGCAGCATAAAAATGTAAATGGCGTATCGTACGGCGCAAAATTGTACGGCGTAGGTGTTGCGTAAAATTTTAATTTAGCCCATGCTTTGCGTGATCTACATCTCGGAACTAAAAGATGGAGAATTAATGTAGGCGTTAGCTTACGAGTCGACAAGCACGTTGAACCATCAGGAACAAGCACTTCTTGAATGGGAGTAAATACGGTAGTTAGTGCGCTTACTAACTTACCGAACAGTTAGGGTGTCCGACCACCCCCTATATAAAGAAGCGACGAGACAATGTCGCGCCTATGTAGTCACGTGCCCCCAATCCCGTGGCACGTGTACTCATCTTGTGGACAAAACTGCTGAGAGAGTTGATGACTATCTTCCCTCTTACTAGATTTAGATATATGCCTCCAGTCCTGGGATATGTATTTCTATCTTGTGGACATCCGGCTCGAATACCAGACCTGGCTCGAGTACCGGGCCATTTCGGCTCAAATACCGAATACCCCTTTTCATCTTTTTTACTTTGTTAAAGTCAGGCTAAAGTTTCAATGACATATCGAGGGACTTTAGACCAACGATGACACGATTGAGAGGAAATCTTCCCCTTTTATCCTTTTAAAACCGATCTCTTCTCATGACTTGACATCACCCAGAACGCCTTTACTTGTAAAAGCGTTCTACAATTGCAAAGGATCAATCTAGATTCTTTAGCGCGTTAAGACTAGAAAAAACATTTTTCTAGCCTTAATAGTTACTTGTTTCAAACACTTAGCGAACCAAGGATTGTTTCGACATCCTTAAACATTACTTAAAGATTCTCTATCCTTAGAGAATCGCATAATGAGTCTCGGATTTATTTCCTTGACTACTCTGATCATCGTCCATTCTAGACTCGATCAAAGTGGGGGCTAACTGTAAACATCTACTTTAGGCATCTTGTCCCGACAGGAAGTGCAATGACGATGAATAAAACCATCTTCATGTTGGATCAAAGTGAAGAATACTTATGGAGAACTGGTTAAGCCACAAAACACAAAAGACTAGCCCGAATTAAAGATAAAAGCAAAAAACAAAGGTCCAATTAACTAAACTCGATCATAATTAGGCTTAAGCCCGTGCTTGAAACCCAATAATTACGGATTTAGGAGCGCCTAGTTTAAATTTTAATGCTGCCACTGAAAAAGCCGCGCGCATCTCAAAAAGTCGTGGTCGGCTGCCGCGCGGAACTAGTTCACTTGCGTGTGACACCCAGCGCAACCTACAGAGTTGCACTATGGAAGATTCAGAATTATACAAAAAATATACAATCGAATCTTACCATAAAGCCGCACGCAAGACAATTAGTTGTGCTGCCCATAGCAGCGCCACCTAATCACTTGCGCTGGGTTGCCGCGCGCTACTCATCCAGTTGCATGCGACACCTGCTGCGGTAGAATACTCGTAACCCTAAACCTAATTATTCCCTATAAATAAGAGCTTAAACCAAGGCTTAAATAGACATAAAGTAACCTAAAACTCTGGCGAAATACTTGTGAACTTGTGCAACCTAGCCCCACTTGTCCTTAACACTCACCCCTTTTGATATTTTGTTACTACGGTGGAGGTTCCCCAAAACGAAGGAGTCCGTAAGTATTCTAAACAGAGATCTAGCAAAGGGGAGTGGTAAATTCCCAAGCACTAAGTTAAACCACATTTATTTTCTTGTTTAAAGGAACCCTAATTAATTAATTAGTGTTGTTTGATCACCTTTAAAATAATTAATTAATCAATTCCACATAGTATCTTGCATTAAATATTTATTAGAATTGAATTAAATAATTGTTGGTTGGTCACTTAAGCCAAGGTGAATATTGTTTATTTTCTTGTCCTTTTCACGAATTTGATTAAATAAATAATAACTACATTATGATGTAATTCCTACATGAATTAGTATGTGTAAATAAAATCAACTAACATAGTTTTAGGTATCGCGTTGCATATATTGTTTGGTGATGAAATTGTAAAAAAGGAAGAGCTAGTAGAGGCCGCACTAGGGTTAGGATAACGATCCCCCTCTAAAGGGAACATTATTTTAGTACCCTCGTTGCCAAGCTTATTTCAGGTTTATAGATCAATTTTAGCATGGGTATACTTATGATTTATGCCAATTATTCCATGAACTCCACATGGAAGAAAGGCATGAACAAGGTTTTTGAGTTTTCATAAAACTCATTGGCGACTCCCTACTTGTTTCTTACAAAAAAGCGTAATAATAGAATCAATTCTAATTCAAGGTCCCCCAAATAGTTAGGAATTCAAATCCTACTACACCCTAACAAGTGTAAAGTCCTAGGCTTTTAAAGGGCTACGGGCATTTAAGGCGAGGACCCCTTACGATGGGAACCCCCTCCTTACACGTGGGCATGTCATTCTAAGCTCTTTGTTCATAGACGCGTGGACATATCAACATCAAAACAATGGGATGGTGTTCCTTGGCTTGTGGAAGGTTATCACAACAGCAAATGCAGCAGCAAATCAGTTACCTTCAGGGACGTGTGCTCGACGGTGCAAGATACGCGTTTCTTAACTCTCTTATCTGTTTTAACTAACTCTAGTTTGCAGATATTGCCGTGACAAGAATGGTTTAGGATCGCAAAACGTTCTGAATCATTCTCCTTCCTATTACTTTGACTTTTGTTTTCGAAACTTGCGTATCCCCAAACTCAGTCAAAGTGGGGGCTTCTGTAGTCACCCATTTATGTCTCCCTAAAACCAAACCTGGTGATGAATACCTTTCACGTTGGATCATAATTGAATGAAGCGAAAATGTGGAAAGTCTAGTCTTGCGGTTAGTTTTTAATTCTTTTCTTTCTCTCTATTTTCGAAAACCTATTTTATGAAAATAGTCAATCCAGTTTGGTTTTGTCCATGATAAGGGTCCAATAATAGTGTAGTTGGATAAGGCTTGGAAAGAGCTTTCTAACGATATATTATAAGCCCAATTACAATAAATAATGAGGAAGTTATGGCAAAATTACAAAACTGGGCCCGGTTTGATCTTTATACGCGGCCCAATGATCTAGAGGAGAGCCTATTATGATTTATCATTCCTAATGCAATTAGGATTGATTATAGTCTTCTAGAATCTTCTAGAAGATTCTTTTAATTCCTAACATGATTAGCATTGATAATTTTGTTTTAAGAGTTTTATTTAGAATAAACAAAGTGTTTTTAAGGAAAATACAGTTTTACCCTTCGTATTCTTAAATTTTAGCAAAATATGAAAACACATGGAAAAACTGTCAGCAGCACCGCACCACAGGCTGTCGCCTGGCGATAGGCATGGAGCTGCGGCGACACGTCCATCGTTTGGCGACAGAGGCGTGTGGGGCGACAGTGTCGTGTTTTATTCTTTTCGAAACTCTGATTCTTTTTTATCATATTCCAGCTGATTTTCGTTATAAATAGCCCTCTAAAACCTCCGTTTTCAATAACCAACTCTCATCAAGAAATTCTTGATATTCTCTCTCTTTCTTTCTAAACAACCTTTCCACAAACAAAATTTCGTATTCACAAGATCTAGACACACCTAACCTAATTCGAAATAGCCTTCGCCCTAGACGTGAAAGGTTTGATATTTCTGAGGGTTTAATCCCAAATCTAGTCTAAACTTTTTAATTCTTTCTTAATCTTTATTTTATTTAATTCTTTGGTTTTATATTTTCCTTGATGTTACTAACGTGTGTATTTTGTTATTAGAAAGAGATACTAGGCATCTAAGAAAGTACATTAATTTTTTTATTGATATAATGATATAGAAATCATGTTTAGGTTTTATTTTGCTTCCTAGTATCATGTTAAGATGCTTTTCCTAGTATCATATTTAATGTGATTTGCTTATATCAATTATGATTTATGTGATGCTTCCTATTTTCTTTCTTAATATCATGTTAGGGCTTAAGCTTTAATTTAAATGTTTAGTGGCATGCTAGGGTTTGTTATTATTCTTGTTAGTATCATGCCTAAGATCTTGCTATTAATATCACGCTTTATTGTTAACATGATTATGATAATTATAATGATTGTTATAATGATTATTATGATTATTATTATTTTATAATGATTATTATGTTCACTAGTGGAAAAATAGCTATCCGTAACGGGCAAAAGCAGCCCATCCGTAACGGACAAGGGGCTTTACGAATGCGGCCGTTACGGATAGACTATGTTATTCGTAACGGGCGCTGCCCGTTACAAATAACCCGTTATTCGTAACGGACTTTTAAACCGCCCGTTACAAATAATGGGTTATTTGTAACAGACATTTAATTTTCCCGTTACAAATACAATTGAAGCCATTTAAAAAAAATGGTAGCAGGGTATATATACCTGCTACTTGGTAATCTGCTATGATGCAGAATCTTTAATTATTATTTTTAAATTTCAATAATAACACATGTAAAATTCAATTAATTATAGATTAAGATACAACTTGCACTAATGTCCAAATTGACTTTACAACAACTCTCTAACATGAATCAAAAGAAGAAAAGCTACTACATAATTCCACTAAACCTCTTCATTCTATTTCTTTTTCTCACTAAATCTCCATAATTCCAAAGCTGAACAAGGCAACTTCTGAGACTACTTTCTAACTGCATCTTTCCCGCGAAAATTAAGGCCTTTGAAGGCGTACATAGAACCATGCTTATTTATTAGGTTGTTCTTGACACCTAGACTAATGAGCTCCCTGCATATGCCCTTTCCATACTCGATTTCAAATTCATCGGTTCTAAAAGGTGGTGCGTGCTTGTTCTTTATGACTTTCACAAGGACATGACTCCCGACAATCTACAGAACGAACATTGCATATAGTTAAGGGGTTTCATACACTATTTGCCAAGAAATAATGTTGATAATTTAACAAACTACACACAAGCAGTTAATAAACCTTCCTGAACTATCAAGAAAAAATATCCAATTTATAACAAAATTAGACATTCTATCATATGTATCTCTCTTAACATCCATTAATAGGGGAGGATTACATTTTAAAATTACTTGATCTCTACTTGATTCAAAAATAGCAATATACACTAGGATTGAGACAATGACTGGCTTAATTTTCAAAGTGCTTGGCTCATTAATCTTGCTTGCATTGCCATGTGTGCATTACCTATTTCACCATCAAGTTCTCCTTTTGGCACAAGGGCACAGGAATAAATATTTTACTATATATGAGAGATCTTACAACTAATAATAACGACAATCAATATGTTTGAGCATAGTAACCATACATATTACATGAGACAATTTTAAAATTATTTAATCATAAAAATGCACATCAAAGAGACACCTCTAATTTTGAGTGCAACTCATAAAGTCTACAAATTTGTAGGGTTGTATAATCTGATCCCAATATCCCTCTTCTAGTTCAAAGTAGAATCTCAATCTTAATAACATTAAAGCTACTTGTACAGTCATATAGTTCCACACCCCAAAAATAGAAATAATCAAAAGAAATAAGGGTAAAAAGAAGCAAGCAGCTTACTTTGAAATTATATATTTGACGACGTGAAAAGGTCACTATGCAATCCCCTTTTTTTATATTCGTAAATGATCCAAGAGGCACCTTTGATGGTTCCAAAGGTGATAACCTATGATAATACGTTATCTGCATAACAAATAGGGATAAAGAAGTAAAAACAAAACAATGAAAGAAACAACATATATTAGCTGATAAAGAAGCAACATTGGCTCTTGACACAAACTGTCAAACTTTAAAGAAGAGATCAAGGAGAGTAAATGAAAAATCACAATAACAAAGCAGCCAATATCCTTACACATCCCTCTTACCTCTGTTCAAATTATTTGAAATTTTTTTGTCCATTAACCTTCTCTAATTAATTCCTGTTAGTGTGTGCTATGAGGCAATATAGCTTGTCATAGTCTTTTGAGGCAATATATTTATAATAACTTCTTTTAGTCTTTCGAGAATCTTGTCATTCTATATTATGATCTAATTCATATTAGTTAACTTTAAATTAATTATTTTTTAGTTGACAATACCAAATTCATGAGACTTGGAAGGCTTAAATCAGATGTGGTAGCGTTAAATTAGAGGGTCAAGGCTATATTTTTTCTAACAAAAAACCATTTATCATACTTTACAATAGTTAATTCTATTACTTAGATGAGTTGATTTTAGGCCACAGTAGCATAGTACATTGAAATGAATACAATGATCTCCAAGCTACCTGGGCACTGAACAACAATAATAGATAATATAAGTGCATTAAAACTTTCTATCCCCAAAACAAAGATAACTGTAAACACATGAGAAATGCAAGTGAAAATGGATCCTTGCTTACACTATCAACTACCACAACATCAAGTGAACCACTTCGAATGAGAGTATCCACAAGGCTAAGAGCTTGTTCAACTCAATATGGTTGTGATAAGGGCAGATTTTGTGTATTTACACCAATAGCTTCTGCTAGAGCTGGATCAAGAGCGTGTTCAGCATGAACAAAGGCACAGTACCCTACATGGATAAATGATGATACATGAGTCATGTAATCACTAGCACGGATACAGACATTAAAATAAAAAAAAAAGGTTGATTTTAAATCCAGCTTGCCCCTGAAAGTAAATATTTAATCAAAATACAAATTCAAATACATGCAATTAATAAACAATTTTTCTAGCTTTAATTCTTAAAATGAAAGATATCATGTATATATGAGACATCTACATTGATGAAGCTGCGAATGGACAGTCAAATTACCGGCTTAAGTGATCCTATACTAATGGGTAACAAGTCGTCTTCTTAGAAGTGAGAAGAGGTCTAAGCAAATAGTATGAGCAATTAAATTAACATGATTTCCCTGGTAATCTAGAAACTCTCTGAAACTGAAGCTAAGATCTTGAATTTATAACTAACAAAATCGAAGCATCTATAAATCACCCTTAATACAAAGGCTTGAATACCTAATCTCGATAATGTCCAAAATAAAGCGGAACAACAACAACAATTTAACCAAAAAAAAAGTAATTAAAGCTTAATTGGTTACCCTTATTTCTTCCTTCTTAGTGGGAGCTGATGTACCATAGTTTCTCTGACATACAAAAAATCAAAAAAAAAAAAAAATTGGAATAAATCCCCAAATTAATCCACGCCAAACAACAAATTAATCCAATTACATTTCCATCCCCGAAAACAGAAATCCCTAATTTAAATCTAATACAACTTGCATGTAGAAAAAAATAAAGCAAATTAGAATTCACAAGAATAAATTCAAGAATTTAAACAATTAGATGCCTAGAAATCAATTCAAGAAGAGGAAAAAACAATTGAAGGACTTCTTACCTCACAATCTAAAAATGGTTGAAGTTTTCGGCAAAGATATCTCCATTTATCTAAGAATTGTTCTTTAGTAGTTAGGTTTAGAGATCTTCATTTGTTGTTAAGGGGAAGATTGATGGAGGAGAGGAGTGAGGGCCTGAGTTTGAAATGAGACAACGAGGTGATGAATGACGGGGAGGAGAGAGAGAGGGAGTGAGGGACTGATGAGAGAGAAAGAGGTGAATACGGCTATTAGGTGAAACCGTGAAACCCTAAAAAGCCATGTAATGGGCTTCTCTCATCAGTTGGGCCAAGTTTAGGCATTTATATCGGGCACAATATGCCTGTTACATGTAATATAGTATTCGTAACGGGCAAAATAGTGGCCGTTACGAATACTTATTTATTCGTAACAGGCACTAATTTATCTGTTACAAATACATACGTATTCATAACGGACACTATTTTGCCCGTTACAAATAAATAAGTATTCGTAACGTACAATATTTTGCCCGTTACGAATATCTTAATTGTAACGGGCAAATATTTGCCCGTTACAAATAGCCTGTTACGAATGAGATTTTTTCCACTTGTGGTTGCTTGATATATTTTATATTGTTATTGCTTGATAACGCCTTTTATGTGTGTTTAAAGGGAATTAGTACTTGTAATCACGCTTAATAAGATAATTAATAATCTTGTTTAGGGTTAATATAATTATAATTCAAGTGATCGCCAATAATAGTTTTGTTTGTGCATTAATATTTAACCAACATAGATAAACAGGTTTAGGGGTAAACCTATTGATTGCATGTTAGACAGAAAGCGCACATGAATACGAGAAGAATAAAGTAGAGGCCTATTGTTAGGGCAGGTTCAATCTCTTTTAGGTTGGATTTGTACCTTCATCCCCGAACTTCCAGTCATGGTTCCAGTCCTATTGGAGTTAACGATCTCCTTGATCGTTAAGGGGTGTTAGCTTCACCCTATGAACGGTTTACAAGTTCCTAAAACTTGTAGGCGACTCTTTTGCTCTATCTTCCTTCCCTTTGGACGCCACCATGCTTAAGTGTATGATCACTGTGGGGTTCAAGTTTGGGGTAATGCTTGAAATATTTCCTACAATAATATTTTTCAAGGTGTTTTTATGGTTTTAATTTTTCTTATTTTAAGTTGCTAATTAGATTAGTAGCTCGTTTTATCCATTTTAACCTTGTATTAAAGCTGACTTCAGCTCCTGAACCCAGATTTCGACCCAAAAATAGTGATTTTTGGTGGAAAAGGCATTCTGGAAATGGTTTTACCCTTTTAAGTCTCGATTTTTAGCCAAAAAACGACCAAAATAGTACTTTTCGAGGGGTTTTGGTAAGTGATTTTTATGTCACTTTTAGGGTGTTTATTGAGTCGCTTTCCGACTCATTTTACAATAATTTAGCTCATTTTGTTCTTTATTTCTTTTATTCTCATATCCTCGTCTTTTATCTTTATTTTGAGTATTTTAGTAGTTTTTATTAATTTTTAGTTTATCTTTGTAGTTTTAGTTAATAATTTCCCGCTTCTCTCATTTTATTTATTTTCTTTTAGTTTCTAGTTTGTTTTATTTTATTTTATTTTATTTTATTATTTCTTTAGTTTTAGCATTTTTTTTTACTTTATTTATCTTGTTTTATTTTATTTTATTTTTATTTTAGTTTTTGTCCCTTTTTCTCTCGGTTTTCTTGGTTTGTGTAGGATTGTGCTCGGAGGTTCAAGGTTCGAGGTTCAATATACGTGTCTCAAGTTTTAAGTCATAAATGGAGTCTCGAATTCAAGCCAAACATCATTCACAAGCCACTGCCACCAATCCACACCCAATTCAGCCCACCAAGCAACCACCTACCAACCTTCACCATCAACAGCCACCACAACTACAACCACCAGCACCTCACCTCCAACACACCACTCACGCGCAAACCACCGCATCCTCACACCACCAGCAACCCAATCAATTACCCAAAATAACCAATTAACCACCATTTCACACCCCCTGTTCCACCGTCACCTCACTTCGCGCAAATCGTCGCAATAATTCCCCTGCTCCCATAAACCGCAACCAACACCACCTATCATCCCACCACAACCACACCAGCACTCCTCTCCAATCAAGAACCACCTCCGTCAGCCACCAATCAACCAAACCCACGCAAACACCACCCACCAATCAGAGAAGCCGCTTCAATCGAACCTCCGAATTCGCTCAAATCAGCATCTGTAGCAACCCAGACCACCGCGGCCGCGCAGCCTTGTTAGAAAGCGCGCAATTGGAATCCAAAATCATAGTCGAGGCAGTAGCTTTGCGCGACCTGCTGTGCGACCTCTGTGCGGGCGCGCAATTGTGGGTCAATCAAGAGCTTTTCATGTGAATTTTAATGAAAATTGGACGGCCACGATAGATGATGATGATGTTGATTTACAATGGTGATTATGATGATTTTTTTTGTGGTTATGAAAATTTTGGAGCAGCCAAATTCGAAAGTTAAGGGGGAAAGGAGGTCTGGTGAAATCGTGGGTTTTGGGGGGAATTTTGGGGTTTTCTTTTTTCTTTTCATTTTCTTTTATTTTATTTGATTGTTGTTTTGTTTTTATTGGTTTTTAGTTTAGTTAATTAATTTGTTTATTTAGTTTTATTTCTTTTTAGTTTCTTTCTTTTATTTTATTTTTTATTTAACTTGTATTATAAATACCCCTTTAGGGTTATTTTCTCAAAACTATCAATCAACATTTTATTTTAGATAGATTAGATTAGTTTAGCCTATATTTTGTCTCTCTTAGGGTTAGTTTAAGAGTAGTGTAGAGAGAGAAAACTTAGATTTCCATGGAGTTTTTGAGAGGTTGAAGAAGCAATTTTGTGGAACTTCTTCTCATTTATTCAATGAGCATTTTATAACTTTCTCTCATCTTTATTTCTTGCTTAATTCTTAGTTTTTGCTTGTTGTTTATTGATTTGAGTAGATTAATTAGTTTATTTGATTAATCTTGTTTTTATTCTTATTTTACCTTGTTTTCCATGTCTTTCTTCATTATGTTAGCTTAGATGTTGTTCTAGGGAAATGGATGAAGGTTATGTTAATAAATTGAATGATTGATTGTGCTTAGTATGGAATTGTTTCTTTATTATTGTGTATGGATGATGCTTTTATGGATTAAAATCTTTCTAGCTAATTGATTTTATGTTCTTAATTGTGCTTTCAATCGATTGTGCGAGAGTGAGTTGGTTGAGAGCCCTAATTTCTTCCATACCTTTGCTAGGCTAGTTGCACGAGATTGAATTAGTTTAGTAGGATAATTAACATGCTTAATTGTGCGAGAGTGAGTTAAATGTGTTGATTGTTCCTAATCAAGGTCATTTTCATCTAATTGTATGATGTTATTGAATGTATTGATGTGATTGGATTCCACTTTCCCTAGTTTTAGTTATTTGTTCTTAGTTGTGTTTAGTTGAACCTCTCTCTATCTCACAAGCTTTCCTACTAGTCTAGTTAGCACAAATTGATACACTTAGTCCTTTTAGGTTCGACCCTTTACTTGTCATTAACTAGTTTAGTGTAAGTTCAGGTATTATAAATTTCTAATTTGGTTAGGGTTAGTAGTCCCAAAGACCTACTTCAACCCTCGATCAATTTTTGGCGCCGTTGCTGGGGACTAAGGCGTTCTTTAGTTTGTGTTGATTAAATTAGCTAGGTTCTTGTATATATTTTGATTTTTGTTTGCTTTTCTTTGTTTTTTGTATAAAAATGGCATGCTTATTTTTTCCTCAATTTGTTGGTGAACCCTTCTATGCTTACTTTGAAAGACTAGATGGTTTCCTTAGTTACCATGGGTGTTCTCTTGTGGTATAGCTTATTGGGGCATGAATGAGTATACTAGGGGAATGGTTGAGGACATGAATAATGGTAGATTTTGTCATTTGTCTATGCATGATGCGTTGGATTTCTTCACATGGCTTTCTAAGGATTCTTTTGATAGAGAATCTAACGTTTCTTGTTTTGATTCTCAATGTCAAGGTTCTTTTAATTTTTGCATGAATTCTCTTGATACTTCTTATGTGCCTTGTGATGATCAAAGTATACAAATTGACACTTTTCCCCCTTATGCTCATTTTGATGAGGTTTGTGCTAATTTTGATGATGTGCAATTTGACTTTGATCATGAATCTCAACTCAATAACATTGATGCCCAAATTCTTTCTCAAATGCAATATCTCACCCAACAACTCCAAGAGCTTAAAGAGGAACAAAAATTGAGAGAAGTGAGGCTTGCCTAAGTGACGAGTGCTTTGGTTGATGTAAATGGATGTGAGGCACCTCATTTGGAGTGTGAGAGTGTTTTTGAGAATGATGTGGGCCAAGGGTGTGAAGGTGAAGGGAGATTTTCTTGTGATGAGAGGATTCCTAGCTCTTTCTCTAATGGTTGGTGACTCGTTGGACATGTGTTGGTTTGTTGGATTGATTTCTTTCTTTTCCCCTCCCATGGATTATTTAGTTTATATTTGAGTATATTGTCTCACTCAAGCTTGGGGAACGGTATTCTATCATGTTTGGTGGGATGTTGATTCATTTATGCCATGCACTTGAGTATATGCATTTCCATGTCTTTTCTTTTATTTGAAAAATCCAAAAAGATTTTTGTTTACTTTCAGAGTAATTTTGGCAAAATGTGTTTTGTTTGTTCTTATTTTAGACATTTTGTTTTGGAACTTGCATTCTTGAATGTTTTTCTTTCTAAGTGGTAAATGTGTGCACGGTTTGAGAGCGTCATTTGTTGACACTAGGATACTATCTGCTAAGGTAGTCGGGTTAAGAACTTTTAGGGGTCCATGAAGCCTTAGTTCAAGGGAATCTGGTAAGATGGAGTTGCTTTCTATAGCGGATTTCAAACCCTTGGTTGATATTTGTTTGGTTATAATCCCTTGTGAGCTTCATTTGTTCTAGCCTTCATCACCTTGTTGAGCGGCTAAGATGGACTATGCATGTCTTAATCCTTGTTTTGACCTCTAGCTCCCAAGATCGTGACCGAGCCACTCTAGGGGAGGAAAAGGGCACCTTTTCTCATTTTTCTTTATTTTCTTTTTGTTTTGTTACAAATTTGATTTTCTATTTTGCATCGACCTACTTGCTAACCAATTTGAGCCTAAATTTTCCTTTCTTGTCTTAACACTAGGTGAAAAAAGGCATTTGGTAGCGGTTCAAACCCGGTCTAAGGCACCGGTTTGAACCGCTGCCTATGTGAGGGGTGCCAAAAACCAAGTTTTTGGCACCGGT